AGCCTGGGCATTACCCGTGCCATAGGCGATGCAGGGTTCAAGTTGGATGAATACACTGACGGCAAGCCGTCTGGCATCATTGCCGATGCGGAAACTCAAACCACAAAGCTTACTGACCGTGATGAGTTCCTCGTTATTGGCTGTGACGGCTTGTGGGATGTAATGTCGTATGATAGAGTCGTGCAATTTTGTTCCCAACTTGCAGCGGAGGGTGTGCCACCGCAGGATATCACCGATAGGTTGTGTCAGGAGGCTTTGCAGCAAGGGAGTACTGACAATGTGACATGTGTTTACATCAATATAAAAACCAAACGACCCAACTCAAGTGATTGGTGTTCTCAGAGTGCGGCTTCTACCTCTCAGAAAAATGCCTAGGAAACAGTAAATGTATTAGTTCTTCATTTCTCCTCCTTCCGTTGTTGTTGTTGTTTTCTTTTCTTGTGTGTGTGTGTGTTTCGTTGCGGTTTTTTTTTGTTGGTTTGTTTGTTTACTTTTGGTCCTCTTTTTTACTCGGCATTGTTACTTTTGTGCGGTGCATGACATTTTGCTGTTTACTTTGTTGCATTTTTTTTTTTTTTCACCTCTTCGCCTACAGACCCTCTTCGAGAAATGTATGGGCAATGCAATTTTTTGCGAAAAACGACAGCATGTGCCTGAAGTTTAAGTTTGTGGAACGGGTTGATGAAAAAGAAAGGAAAAATTGAAGAGGAACAGTGAGGACTCTGTGTGTGACACAGGTGGGCGGTGGTGGTAGTAGGAGCAATTGGAGGTAAGACCCTGCTCAAGGGGCACACTGTAGTGGGTAGGGTAAGGGTGAGGGCAGGCTAGAAAAGGTGAAGAAGAGGTAACAACAACAAGGAGAAGTCCGAAGAGAAAGTTAAGGGGATGAAAAAGTGAGGCATAGCTAAAACACCCATTGAATTTCATTCTACTTTTTTGTTTGTTTGTTATTGCTGTCTTCGTATACTTTATTAAAGATGGTTTGTAGTTAACGAAAGGATCTCGGGAAGGAAACCTTCAATGGGAAGCGAAAAAAAGAGGGGTCTGGTGTAGGCAGAGGCGGAAAAAAAGTGCGCCACGTAGTACCTGTTTATACTTTTCCTGTTTTTTTTTTTTTTTTTCAGATGTGGTGCACGAATTAGTTTTTCTTGTTGGGTGTGGGCATCCAGTTATCAACAGCAATAGAGCAAGTGGGGTAATAGGAGTAGACGACCTAACTTGACTACCATCTTGGGGTAGTTGATGCATGACCTGCATTTTTTGTTTTTTTTCTGATGTGCGTGGTGGTCACTGTTTGGAAATTGTTTTTATGCGTCCTCCTTGGATGGGTGAGTGGGGGGTATTCTTCATACACTTTCTCCTTCTGCCTGTTAGGACCCAAGGGTCCCGCTTCGCGGCCGGGGTTTGATATTCCTTTTGGAATCCGCTACGGAAACGTACAAGACGGACACATAAAGTAGAAAACGGATGAAGGTGGGGTGAGAACAATTATATCCCGCAAGGAGTGTAGCGGGTAAAACAAATAATAATAATAACATGCAGCGGAGGTGATTGCAAACAAACAAACCAAGAAAAAAAAACGCAGGAAGCGAAAGGAGGGGGTCTTCTGGTGGGCGAGTTGGCGGGGTAATAGATGTGTATGTACTTATGCGTCTATGTATCAGTTCTTGTGTGTGCGTGTCGGAGAGTACCGCAAAATGACACTGAAAACAACAGTAACACTGACAGAAGGTGGATGAAAATGAAGGACATTACAATGATTTCCGAAGGAAGTGATGAATGAGACAAAATAGATAGAACACAGCGAAGTGACCATCATGTTTTTGCTCCATCGTAGTAACAAGCAGCAAAAGGCTTAGAAAAGATAATAATAATACAAACAGCAACAGCAAGAACGACTTCCTGTGATTTTTTTTTATTCTTATTATGGTGTATATCTCCTCTATGCGTATCTGGTCTTGTGTTTCTAAGCTGGGGTTGTGTATGTTGGTGGATATAGAGTCCAAATGTACACGTTTATATGTATTCTTGCGGTTGTTTTGTGTTGCATCTCTTTTTGTGTACTTGTAGCTCCCGGGATTGCAGTGGTGAAACGTTTAGGCTCCGCATACAGTTGCTGTATTTGCTGCTGTTGCCGTCACGATTGTTGTTGTTGTTTTTGTTGGTGCTTTTTTTCTTTTTCAATCTTTACTTTTTTTTTTTTCTTTCGCGAGTCTCAACCACTCCATCGCGTCTCTTTAACTTTCAGCGGGTGCTTGCAACCAAAATCGTCATAGGTTTACTCTTCCGCCTTCTTTATTATTATTGTTGTTCGTGTGTGTGTCTGATTGTGTATGTGGGAAAGAATGTTTTTCCTCTCTAACTGCGGTGCCTCCCTCCCTTTCATCACTTTTACCTTTTTTTAAAATTATTTTGCTTCTTTCCTTACTTTATTTTCCTCGTGATTTGTCATCGTTTCGTTTCTGTTGTTTTCTTCTCCTATGACTTTGTGTGGCTCATATTTTTTCTTTTGTTGCTTCACACCTCTTTTCTTTTTGCTTCCTCAACAGTGTGGAAGATCCTGGCAACCGTGAGGAGACAGTGGTTGTTATTCATGAGCAGTGGTATCCAGAGCATGAAAACTTTACCTGTGTCGCTTGTACACACGTCGGAGGCTCATTGCAATGGAGCTGCACCAGCAACCGTGGACCCCGCACCCTTTTCATCTCCGTCCGTGGTTTCCTCGCTGTCGAATGTGATGCGACCACTTTTTCACTTCACTGCCGATGACGCAGTGATTCTCGCAATGGAGCATAACAACCACAACAAACTACTAGCGGTGTCCACGTCTAATAATGAAGTGTTTGTGACATCCACACGTGATATGCCTTTGGAGGGGATGCAAGCGGCAAACGGGGAAGAGACGCAGTGGAGCCCTGCAGAAAATACAGTGCGCATTGATCATCTGCGCTTCCCCTGCACTCAACTTGCATGGGCTCCTTGGCAGTATGGAATATACTTGGCGTGTGTCTGCCGTGGTAAACAGGTTCGGCTTTATAGGCTTTCACATGGTCGCTGGTCATTAGACGAGGAGGTGGAAGCACAAGATTGCAATTCAGTGGCTTTTTCCGCTCATTTTACTATGGCATGTGTGACCGCAGAAGGTAAATTATTGATTTTTGTTCAAACAACAGTTAATGGTGATAACAGATGGATGCTGCACAGCACGCACTCAGATGAAGAGAGCCCTAATGCGACGAGACAATTAATCGACCGTAGTCGCACTGTAAAAGCTTTCACTTGCGTTGCCTGGGATGAAACAGGAACTTTGCTAGCAGTGGGCGATGATGAGGGGGAGCTTCGTGTTGTCTTTGTCTACGATGAAGGTCGGAGTATTGGCGAGGTTGCCTACAGATCAGAGCTTGTCTCAGACCGTAGGAAAGGTATTCGCCAGGTAGCATGGTCACCAGGGGCAGGCCGCAGTTTTCTTGTTCTTGCAGTGGTGACCTCTTACAAGGTCACACTTCTCTTTTTTAAACGTGCTCGGGTGGGCATGAGCGGCGGTGGCGGCAGTGGCAGCGGTGCACAGGCGGCGCTAGGGGCGCAACTTCACTTTGTTACCAAAACAAGTGTAAATATGGAAGAGGTAACTGAACTATCTTGGAATATACATGGGGGGCGTTTTGCTACAGCTCACACGGGTGGTGCAATTTGTGTCTGGGCTGTGAACATTTCTTACCAAAAAGGGCAGCAAGATTCTTTTGTTGACGTGGAAAATGTTACGGGTGGTAATATTAGTGGAAGTGGTGGTGCAAATCACGTTAATGTGACGCAGCCATCTCATGATTTAGTGCTGGTGGCCTCCGTGAGCAAGGTTTCTGGTGTGCATCCCTACCACGGTGATAGATAGAGGGGGCTGTAGTGATGTGGCCACGTCAATGAACAGTCTACACAGTGCGGGGGCATTACACTATATCAAAGGATGTATTTTTCCTTTTTTTTTCCTTTTTCGTAGGAGTGTTCTCATTACCCATTTGACTTTTTTGTTTTTATTTTTATTTTTCTTCATCCCTTGTTTGTCTTGTTTGTGTTTGCTCTTTGTGGACAAGAGGAACTAGAAACATCCTTCTGACAGGCTGTTGCGTGGCATATGGGCGTGGATGGAAAAGGCGAAGATGGTAAAAAGCACCGGCTGCTCGACACAGGTCGGTGCCAGCGTGGCGTAAAACGACCTGCCGAGAGAACTGACACCGAGAGACCATCCGAGGTGGCGATCGTGGCTACTGCGGCTGTTGTCGTGGAGGGCGATAATGATGTTGATGCGGCAGTTGTCTCAGAGTCGCTTGTGGCAGCGTCGAATGATGGCATCTCGAAGAGTGTGCAGCAGGAGGGGGAGAGAGGTGTGCGGTTGCGGCTCGAAGATCCCATTTACCGAATCATGCACGCGTTGCCGCGGTCAGACGTTCTTGAAATTTTCAAGTGTCGTTTTAAAGGTGAGGAATGTGAGCGGGCCGTGGTATACTTTGATGACGCGTTTATGAAAAACCCACTGCGTAAGCTTCGTCTACAAATCGGCTGTGATCGGGTCACGGGGCTTCACCTCTTCTTTCCCAAGTTGCATCATCATAGAAACACGTTGCGTCTTCTTGATTTGTCGCGTAACGACATGGATGAGGACGACGTGGCGACGCTGACGCAACTGCTCGAGCTTCGCGGCGAATCACCGTCATGTGGTACGTCGTCACTTTTGGAGGTGCTGGATTTAAGCTACAACCGCCGTATCGGAAACCGTGGGGCCTTGTTTCTTCTTGCAGCTTTACGCCACAATGATCGGATCCGCGCCGTAATTTTAAAAGGGATATCCGTAGACGATAGTGGTGCCGTTGCTGTGGCGCCGTTTTTACGGCAACGCCCTCTGCCTCGAATGGCGGATGACGACGAGGGTGTGACTTTTCAGGAAACCTCCTCGCGTCGGCTCCCCACTTTTTTTTTGAACTTAAATGAAAATCGCATTGGTGCTGCAGGAACAGTTGTTTTGGGGAAAGGACTTCCAGCACACGTATCCCTTACGGTATGCAGGCAGCGCCCTTTTTGCAATAAAAAAGGGCCCTTGCTATAGAGTTTGCAGCTTTGCTGTCAGTACGACAATCGCAGTTTTTCTTTTTTTTTTTTTTTTGGTAGGGTGTGTGTGTGTGTGGAGGGGTTCATCAATTCATTTACGTGTAGTTATTATTGAGGCAACGCTGCTGCATATTGTTTTTTCTTTGCCTTGCTATTGCTTAGAGCCTCACATTTATAAAAACGTGGGGTAGTTGCAGTCGTAGTCGTAGTATAGTTGGCGTTGTGTGCGTGCACGTGTGGGGGACTCCGGCTTGCTGGGTAAATGACGGATACGGCACCGCTGCTGGGGGATACCACTGATGTGTCGCAGTCATCTGCAGTTGTTGTCCTTAGTACCCTTGTAGAGGAGGGGCGGCTGCTTGAGGAGCGCTCCGACTACCTGAAGCAGAAGTTTAAGGAGCTTTACAACCGTGTGTTGGTGGTATACAGGCGGGACAACTTCCTCCTAAAGCGTGCTCGTCAGTTAAGGAAGGAACTGGACTCCCAAAGAGAACAAATCGTAGCACGGGGTAACAATGCTGTGGAGGACGATGCAGAGATTCAGCGGTTGAAGAAGTTGCTGGTAGAGGCTGAGAAAGAGTTGTCGGATGCCCAAGAGCGGGAGAGCATTCTTCAGGTAGAGGTACTGGAATTTGATCGGAAGAAGCACACAATGCTGCTTGAGCGCGAGGATGCTCTTGCCGCTGAAGAGGCGCGTTTGCTTCCTCGCATGGAGGCCATTCGTGCGGAGATGACAGCGCTGGGGAAGGAGGTTGAGGAGCTGACGATGGAGATGGGAAACATTGGGTCAAAGCGCGACGAAATACTCCTTCAGGAGGCGGAGTGCAAGGAACAGTTGACGCATTGGAACACAATCATGGTGGAAGCCACAAAACAGTTTTCAAACGTTGAGAAAGCCCCCGAACGCGCGCTTCGACAGACGGAGCTGGTTATCAAAACTTATGAGGCTGCCCAGATGGAAATGAATTCCCTCGATGAACGACTGCAGGTTCAAAGCGACACGATTGCAAAACTTGAACTGAAGCAAAATACACGTAGCACTGATTATGCCCAGGCACTGGCTAATTTACAGAAGATTAAAGCGCAATTGGACTCCAAACGTACCATGCTTGCGACTTTGAACACATCCCTAGAAATGGAGCTGGAGGCACGTCAGGGGTATCAGCAACGCATTGCTCAGCTGGAGCAGCTTATCAAGAGCACAAGCATTGCGCAGGACAAAGAGGCTGGAGATTTAGAGCATGTGCGTCGTGAAAAAGAACGTGTTGCTATGGAGTACATGGAATTGGAGCATACTGTTTCAAACATTGTTAGGGGGAAGGATGCAATCAAGGAAAGTATTGCTAACGCCAAAAAAAAAATGGAACAGGTGCAAGCCAAACGCAAAAAAAATCTTCAACGTCTTGAAGAGACTCAGCGAGAGTTGGAGCAGCGAAATCGAGGGTTTCTAAAGGAACAGGGTCGTGAACAGGAATTTGTCGCAAAGGCAGCTTCTGTACAGGAAGACGTAGCAGCCATTAAATGCGAGCTTGCAGGGCGTGCATCACAGGAAGAACTAAAACGTCGTGAGACCCATGCACTGATTATTCGGCGGCAGGAGCTCAACTGGGCCTGTGCGAAAGAGAAGAGCCGAATAGCAATGGGGAAGAATGAGCTGCGTATGAAGGGGATGTATGTGAATGATGTACGTAGGCGGAAAGAAGAGTTGGAGCAGCGGTTAACCAACATGATTGAGACGTTTCAGAAAATCAAGGCGGAGCGTAGTCACAAAGCAGCACAAATTCAGGCCATCACGCAGAAAATGACGGAGATGTCTGAGAAGAAGACAATTCTTGAGAATGAACTTGTTGTTCTTTGCCGTGAGTCGTCTCTTAAGGAAACAGAATTAGCAAAGAAGAAACGCCAGGTGGAGGAACTTCGTCAGCTGTGTAAGAATCTTCGCATGGAAAAAAATAGGCATCGCAAGAGCCTGGAGAAGGTGTGCGATGACGAACGTAATGTCAAAGGCCAGGTGCGACGAGTGAATGCGCAGATTGTGGGTCTCGAAGTGGAAATGGATGATGTGAAACACAGATACCATGACGTGATTGAGAGCCGCAACTATGCCGGTGTCCAACTCTTTGACCGTAACGATGAACTTTGTGTCCTGTATGAGCGTGTAAATGCGCAGGAAAAGGTCATACGCGATGGCGTGCTTATGAATAACGCCCGTGACGAGGAAATACGTACACTACGGATCAAACTTGCTGATCTATACCGCGAGGTGGAGGTGGTGCGAAAGTCTGCTCCGAAAATAAAAGAGTTGGAGGAGCAGCTGGAACAAATGACAGAATATATTGACGACGAACGGTGGAAGGTGGAGGTCCTTGAAAACGATCTGACAAACCCCAATAATCCCCACCGATGGCGTCTCATTAAGCGAACAACAGCAGGAAGGGAATTCTCTACTGAGACTGAAAACACAGTGCAGCCTGTGAAGGGGGCAACGCAGGCTTCTGTGCTGACACCCCGTATCCGCAGTGGTGTGGATGGCCCCTCTGATGAATTTTTACATTTACAGCAGCGTTGTCAAGAATTAGAAGAGCGAGTGAATGCCATTAACGAGCGTATTCGAGAGAAGGATCTAATTCTAGAGGAGGTGACAGAGCTTTCCTCTCGTCTCGGCGATCAGGCAAAGACGGGGTGTGAGTTTACGCTGGCGCTTGCGAAGCAGGTAAATTCCCACCATAGCAGCATTCGGGCCAAAACGCGGCAGATGATGGCAACCGTTTCTGAGCTCTCTGTTTTTCAAGCCTCTGCCATTCAGCTTCAACAGGACGTGCAGCGACTAGAGTGCCTTGTTGAAGAGGCGGAACGACTGATGGAGCAAGGAGAGGCCCCATTTATTGAGGCAGAAGAACGGTATGTGCGGGAGATGGAAGCTAAACAGCGACATGCAAGCATGTTGCGACGTCGAAAGGAGGCGGAGGCGGAGCTGACAGCAGCTTCTACGGGCTTGGTAACTAAGGCAGAGCAGCGGCCGAACGCTTACATCCCCGATAGTGATTTGGGTTTCCCGAGACCGTATGGTGCGCTTGTCCCGTTTAAGCCTACACCGACGCCGCAGTCTTCACGATTTTATAGAGGACAGGTGGAAGGTTATCAGTCCAGGGAAACACAGCCACGTCTTGGGAATTCAAAGATGCCAGTGGATCGGGTTTCTAGCAGACGGGTTCATACTTTTAAAGGGCCTAATCACCTCTCCGTGACACATTGATTATTATTTTCGTTTTTTTTTTTCCTTTGTTGCGCAACAAAGGGGGGGGAAAAAAAAGACGCGTTGGGTGAGGGCGAAGACAGAAAGAAAGAGCGAACAAGAAAAATATTCTTTCTTGTTCTTTTTTGGTTACTTGTCTCAGTAGGTGTTGCCGGCTGACACTTGCACTGCGGATGCGATGTGTGTTGTTCCGAGTGGGTGGATTGCACATGCTTTTATTGCTGTTCTTGTTTCTGTTTTTACTTTGTTGGGTGGCGAGTATGGTGGTTTCAGCGAAAATGTACAGGATTGAGTGAACGAGTATTTTTGCTTGTTTTGTTTCTCTGAAAGATCTTTTTTTTTTTTTTTGGGACTTGGCAGAAGGAAAACAGAAAACAAACGGAAATGGAGATGTGCTGCATTGAGGGTGTATATATATGCCCGCATGTATATTTTTTTTATGTTTTTTTCCTCTGCTTCCCTATTTTGTCGATTCCCTCTATCTATCTCGTCTGACTCATGCTGTTTGCGCGCATGAACGCAATGCATATTTGTAGTTTCTTGCTGTTTTTACCTCTTTTCTTTTTCTTTTTTGCTGGAGGCGGACTGGTGGAGGAAAGATGCCATCTGTCAGTTGGAATGCATCAATTGCTCTGCGCCCCTGTTTTGCTGGGTGGGATGCTGTGCTGCTGCAGAGGTATGGCGATGGGGCGCTTTTGGTGCGGGACGAGCGAAGGAGCATTTATGTGGCTCTGGTATCTCAGGAACATGAGGACCCTCGTCTGTTGGTGCCAGCCTGGGACTCGCACGACTTTGCAGTACGAGTGAACCAGGTGCTGTACGACGCTGGGCCACTCGAGATTGGGGTTGGTGATGAGCTGCAACTGGCTCATGGAGGGGCGTGGAGCGACGAGGATGAACTTTGCTTCCGCGTGGAGAATGTCAACACGCTGGAAGAGTCGTCCGCCACGAGCGCGAAGGACTCATCCTTCAATGCAGCTACAGAAAAAACGGCACCACAACCTCCTGGTGTGAGTGGGAGTGAAAATGCGTGGAGTGTCTTTGTGAGGCATCGCTTGGATAAGGTGGGCGAGGTCCTCTCATGTCTGAGTCCAACGGTGTCTACTACTATTTTGTCTCCATCACCTGCGTGTGCCGGTGCTTCCACTGCTCACGCAACATAATTCCGACCACAAAGACGCTCTCTCATTCTTGCGCCCTTTTTCTCTCTGTAGAGAGTGAGGTGCTTGCGGGAAATACTCCACGAAAAAAGCGAGGAAGGATAGAGAGAGCAAGAAAAAAAAACGCTTTTTTGGTTTTGTTTTTGTTTTGTTTTTGATATTATTTTTGGATCCAATTTCCTGTGTCTGTCGGCACACATTGTATGCCTGTGTGATCCCTTTTCTTTTTGTCTTTATTCCACTGTGTGGGGCAATAGGAGATAGGTTTCTAGTCTATCACCCATATATATATATATATATATATATATATATAT